ATTTTTGCAGATTTAATAGCCTACTGTACTGGCAAAGCCAAATCACTGGCTATATGGTATCATGTTTCTCACTACCACAGCTCATGATCACATTATAGACCTATTACCATAAATTTGTTGGTACAGTATTTTCAATAAAATTTACCTAAAATAATACAAAAAGGATATAATTATACAGCTACTCCCAGACTTACGATGGGGTTAGGGACCGACATCCAGGTCGTAAGTCGAAATGGTCGTAAGTCAGAAATGCTTAAATAATACATAAAAATTCTAAATTGGGTGTCTCTTTTTCTTCTCAGCACCACAAAACACTCACTTTTAAGCTTGCCAGCCATTTTAAAGTGAATTACAGATGAAAATTTTGTCTGTGTACTGACTTTGGGACTCGAAAATACTTAATTTGACCAAATTTTGGTACGACTGAGGCAGGTAGTAAGTGCGGGTGGACGTAAGTCGAGTAGGTCGTAAGTCGGGGAGGAGCTGTATGTATAGGTACTTACAGTACAGTGGTCCCTCGGTTAATGAGCACAATCCGTTCCAGCAGGTTGCTCGTTAACCGAAACCATTGTTTCAATGGGTTTTTGGGTAATTGGTTCCAGCTCACCGAAAATTGGCTTAATTCAACAAAAAAGGTAGAAAGGTTCACTTACTTTGAGGTGTGTATGTAGAAGGCTCCTGGATGATGATGATGATGGGAATTAGAATGGGGGTGGAAGAGAAGTCACCCCATGGTGCTATTTCACCCATAAAATTTTAGTTCACTTGGTGTAATTCAAGATTATTTTCTTTAAATCAACACTGCACTGTATTATATATTGTCAATATGTAAAATAAATTTCAAAATGACCAATAATTTGCTTGGAAACAAAGAAAAAAGCATTTAGTTGAAGAAAGTCTCAAGCAATATGTTACCTCCACTGAAAAAGAGAGAGACTGGCGCCTGTTTGCTGTGTTAACAGGCTGGATGGTGCGCCAGAAACTAGTTCCTTTACCTTCAATTATGTTCAATAATTGTTAAAATGACTAAAAGATTTAATATTAAACTTTTAAAATTATTGAATAGTATAAACTTCTTGATATTTACTAAAATAGTAAGGAATTTAAGCCCTAAAACCGATTACTGTATTGGCGGACTAATACTACAGCTGGTGGACCGCCAAATGCAAGCGAAAACATGTTGAGGTCGGCTCGTAAAAAACTCGTTAATCGAGGGATTGCTCGTAAACCGAAGTTAAGAATCTTATGGAAGGTAAATCGTTAACCGAAATCTCGTTAACTGAGGCGCTCGTTAACCGAGGGATCACTGTATACACATTACAAATATTTATTGGTACTAGGCATGTTCACTGGGAACTGTCCAGTACAGGGATTGTTTACATCCTGTGTACCAGATCAGCTGATGTTTCAGATACCTGTATTGTCTTTGCATTGTCACTACCACAACTAACTATCACTGTGTCTATAGTGTTATTTCATGTTTATGTTATTTATTTATGTTATTTCATATTTATTATATTGTCTTATGCATACATAATGTCATACCTGGAGCTATTTATATATGTATTTTGCACACTCCAGGGACTGGCATGAAAAACCCGCAGATTTTGCTTTCTCGCGGGATCCATTTTACCTAACCCCAGTGAGCTTTAAGGGAATACTGTATTATAGGTCTTTGGGATTATCTATAAACCATAAAATTTCAATTTTATTCTTGCCTGGCTATGAATTTAGCGCTCAAGAAACAATCCCAGCAGTATGGGTGAGTAATATATTCTCACCTGCAGGCCAAGTTTTTCTGCCTCAGGTCCAGCGGCAGTTTTCCGAGCATAATTCAGGGCTTGGGATCCTATGGCTGCCTATGGAGAAAGAAACAGCATATAGTATTGAAATTCACACGATTAAAAATATTAGTGATTTTTAGGATGGGGATATTGCCAATGGGTATTGCAGTGCCAATTTTTAAGGTTCAGGATTCACAATAGTTTGGGTCTGAAAGTCACTGATGAAACAAACTGATGAATCCTGAAGTTTTTGATACTTTTATGATATTCATATTATTATTACTCTTAAACAGGATCTGGTCATTTACAGTAAGATGCTTGGGGTTCAAGGGTTCAGAAGTAAGTTTTGCACCCAACCGATACAATAAACCCTCGCCAACTGCGGATTCCAAGTACCCACGGTTCTCACTCTGTATACCATTTTACCAATCGTGGCATTAAGTTTTATGCATCCGCTGATTAGCACAGCATCTTTATTCCTCCGTGCAGTGTCGCATCTCCTGCAGCCAGCCACTGCTCTCCACGCCCTCTCAGTGTTGTGATCTCGTAGCATGCTGATGTACTGTACTGCTCCGTATTTCTCTCACTTATGGCTCCTAAGCATTCATGAGTGTTAATGAACATAATGACATTAGAAAAGAAAGTTGAAGTGCTTGATAGACTAGCGTGTGGAGGGGAGAGTATAACATCAGTGGGAAGTGCTTTGGGGGTAAATGAATCCTCGCTTCGTACCATCAAAAAGAGTGGGGCTATGATGAGGGCAAGTGTTGCTGATGATACGTTGAAAAGTGCAAAAAGTGATGTATATGCCACACGACCATAATCTTGAGCAGATGGATAAAGCACTGAACATATGGATAGAAGACCAGGCCCAGAAAAATGTGTCTTTAAGCTCAAGAGTTAATTCATACAAAGGCCAGGTGGATGTACAGCCACCTTGTTGAAAGTTCAGGTGATGGAAGTGTAATTGACAGTTTCAAGCCAGTAAAGGCTTGTTTGAAAACTTTAACAAAACATACAGCCTGCACAACGTGAAACTTACTAGGGAATCAGTTAGGCTTTAACGAGTGTTATCCGCAGACGTGGCACCTAACCCCCTATTTCCCACAAGGCTTTAGTCATGCCAACCATGGATTTGCCAACCACGGTTTTCAAGAACCTATAGCCTGCAGTTGGCGAGGGACTACTGTTCTGTACTAAATCCTGGACACTATTAACCTTAACTTCTGACTAATATGTAACAGAGAAATAAGAATGAAGAACATTAGTATCATACCTGAACAGTGGCTTTGGGTAACCAGGCTAAGGCTACAAAAATCCTCTCCTTCACGGAAAGCTCTCCGCCCATCACCACCAAGAAGGACGTTATCATGCGGAAAATAAGGCCGATGGTGATGGTGATTAAGCCATAGCCCACAGTGTTACCATCCAATTGGTCCAACTGCAAATATTAAGAGATAATAATATGATCATGATTCACCTATTAACAGCAAATCTACGCAGCATCAGTATGTGCGGGTATTTCTACTTGTGATCTCCATCCATGCCTCTCATTTTCTAAACTCATCTTACACTAATCTCTCTTATCTCTCCCTTGGTCCTACTCTCCCTATTATTGATGTTATAGTACCTTCTGCTTTGTCTTACACAATAATGGGGTGGGATATAAGTAAAAATCATATAGATAGATAGACAGTATTCAACTTGACATGGAAGTTTTGTACACTGCTCAAAACTTTGAACACTTGGGAGTCCACACTAGGAAGACACATCACTCACTGACAATGATCCTACCTCAGGCACAAGCAGAAAATCATTTGAGATAAAAAGCAAAAGGCTATAAAATTAATAGAAAATAAACAAAATTAGATGAATACACAAGAAACTCTTAGACTACTAAGAAATTTATATAATGAACACATTTAAGGAATAAGCACATCTTTTTGCTTTGTAGTTTAGAATATAATTCTTTTCTTATAGTGAATGGTACCAAACTTCTGATCTCAATAATCCTACACACGAGTATTATATAACCAGTGTTTGTGTACCCATACTATCTATGTACAAACAGCAAGAAAAGTGTCTTTACAGCTGGGTGTGATGGGTTTCAGAATGAGCATTACGGCTCTTGTTGTTTTGGAAGGGCTGGTATAACTGACTGCAAAGTGCATTTCTTAACACTCTCGGATAATACACGCATAAGTGGCACGCCAATATGGCATTTTTTTTCTCTTAAAGTTTCTGATCGAATTACTTCAAATTTTAACGCTACTTTTGTCATGGCACTCTCTTGAAACATAAGCAAGTCTTAAGGCTAGGAGAATATAATTAACATTGCTGGAATTCTTATAAGATAGTAATTAGTTTGAATATAAACATGCTATAGTTCACATTAGACATACAAATTTTAGTTCTAACTAATTTTATTACAAAGTGTTAAAAAAAATTTATCTCTTGTGCAAACTATATGATGTTTATACTCAAATTATTCGATGTCTTGCAAGGATTCTAGCAATGCAAATTATATTCTCCTAACTTTAGAGTGTGATATTATATAAGATAAAATCTGTAAGCCTAAAACACCAAACACTGGCTGGGAGGGGAGAAAGGGAGGGAGGGAGGAAGGGGAAAATATATTTAACATTGCTGGAATTCTTATAAGATAGTGATTAATTTGAATATAATCATGCAATAGTTTGCACTAGACAAAAATTTAAAAATTCCGTATCACGGGGATGCCTGTACTTATACAGTATATGAATAAGGATACCGAGAAATGTAAGTCACCGAGTCGCTGGCATATCCACATTTTCCCATATAAGAAGTAATCAGGGCTACCAACATGACACATGACAAAAGATCTTTGTTAAGAATATTTCATTTGTTGAGGAATTGAGGAATTATACGATATCAAAAGTGCAAAGAATTTTTATGCTGTGTACCTGTACAGTACGTACAGTGTTTCTATACCTGCACTGTCTGTGTATATAGTATTATATGCTGTACCTGCATTGCCTATATTCATTTTGAATCTATGTAAACGTGTATGATGCTTTTATTGATTATCTATCTAAAATATTCAGTTTGCCTTGGATTAGTCATTTGTGTATTGGTGTATGTGGAAATGCAATCTTTGTCATAAAAAGAAAAAGTAAATAATAAATACAGACTTTCACGAGGAGACAGGCAAAAAATCAAACCAAGATCCAAGCTATATCATCTCTCCTCATTAACACACTGTTGCTTTCGTGTTAAAACTTACTTTGGATATTCTACAATGTTAACCTTAACTACAATACCACTATGGAGTACTGTAAAACCAATCCCTAGAACCAGACCAAAGGTTTTACACTAAAACTATGAGCCTGGTTGCTAGGGATAGTTTAGGTTATTTTATGCTATGGGTAAATTAAGTTCTGCTTCGGGGCAGTCTAGGCTTCATTAGATTCTGTTTAGTTAGATTAAGTTCCGGGTAAGTCTGGGAATTAGTGATTCCTACTGTTTTGACATGTAACGGTAAAAACTGAACAAGTTAAATTTAATACCTCACCTGAATTTCTGCACCAATTAGCGCGAAGAGAAAAGGTTGGAAGAACTCCCACACATAGCCCAGCAGGTGGTCCACATAATTCTGTTAATGAGGCAAAAAGGTAATGATGTAAAAAACTAAGAAAGTTCTCCGAGCCAAAATGGTTGCTGCAAGTGGCCGACCTTGCAGATTTATTTTGAGAAATTAACTACCTGAATGCTTCCATACAAGGTCGGGGTCACACTTTCATCTAACTCATTTAACAAGCTCACCTCATATAAGGACAAACTAAAGTTGTGGAAAGACAAAATGGAAGAGAGGAAATACTGGGTCTTTCCTGTCCTTAAGCCACCTGTTGGAAGACCGAGGTAAATGCATCTGTATCATTTCAATCATTTGAGAACATTCGTGGCAGTGTCTTGAAGCACTTAACAATATCAGAGAAGAATTCGAATACTACAATCCTGCTGAAGATACCAAGAAATACTGCTGGGTTCGATCTGTCTGTCTACCTCAAAACTTCACTTTGAAGACCTGGCTATAACAAAACAGTCATCCCTCTCTTTAATTTGAGTTATATTTTTACATTTTATGATATATTATTAGTTTGAGTTATATTACTGTATATTGTATCATATTACAGGTATATTAAATTGCTCTATTACTTGTACAGTACTAACAATATAAAATAAAACTTTATTTTTGTAATTACAGTACTGTATTGTGTTTACACTGGGTCGTAAGCATGCCTTACCAATCTAGTTTTGGGTCACTACTCAAAAAATTTAAGAAAAACTTGTTATACTTATTACTTACTACAGTAAAAGTCCAAAAATCCGGATGCCAGAAATCTGGACCACCCGAGAATCCGGACTTTTCGAAAACTCATTTTTTTTTTAATTTAGCTGGCTTTTGTGTGTATGTGCGCATGCGTAAGCGCCACAGCTGCACAGTGACAACAAGCGACCACGCGGTTGCCACTTTAAAACGAGCAATCAAACTGTGACAACGTATGTAATTTTGAGTCCTACTCTTTCCATTTACAGAGAACTGTACAAGCCCGTAATAATGGCTCCTAAAGTAGATAAACTTCGTTGTGTGAAGAGAAAGAAGAACAGGTTGAAACTGAGTGACAAACTTGAAATAATTAAGAAACTAGAACGTGGTGTGAGCAATACTGTTCTAATGGAAACATACGACATTGGAAAGTCTACAATTTATGATATAAAAAAGGCAAAGAATAAAATTCTAGAGTTCACAGCTTTTTCTTTAAAACTGCTCGTTTTGATAAATGAAGCACGCTATATTTGCTAATGAATAAACTATCAAAATGTACCTGTTCATCTCTTCGTTATTCCTCCTTAAATTTGAATTTTAAAAGTGCTGCCTGAGAATCCGGAAAATCCGAAAATCCGGACCGACCCAATCCCCAAGCAGTCCGGATTTTTGGACTTCTACTGTACTTCATTCTGTGAAAAAAGTGCTTCAAATCTGCATAAATATGTTTCCTAAACAATGGCCACAACCTGGGCATCTGTCAGAGCCAAGTTGGCCTTATATACACTATACATAAATAAAAAGAGGCACCCAACAGTATCCAGGGGAGGTCTAAGAGGATTATGATACTTATTCCTTTACAGATTAAAAATTTTAATACTTCAGCAACAGCAGCAAAAATAGGAATATAACCAGGGAGAGAATTAACAGGGGGTGGTAAAGGTTGAAGAGGTCTAGCTACCGGTAGTTCTGCTACAAAGGTATTTTCACTGTTGTCGGGGACTGGTGTTACTGTACTTACTTCATCGGTCATTCCCTGCCGTCGCCATCCAAACCCCGCAACAAAAGCCATCACCAGACACCCTAGTGCCCCAGCACCTCCAAGCTCAACCTAAAATGTAAACAAAGTCTCATGAAGTACTGTATAATATATCGTGATGCTGTACTACAATGTCATCCATAAAAAAAAAAAACCAATGAATAAAGAAAAACATCTGTGAAAATGATTTTTTCAGTAACATCTTTGTATTTCTTCTTTCATCAACAAATGAATGAATCTTTGTACAGCTTGATAAAAATACAATTCTATATATAGCTGTTCCTTGACTTACGCCGGGGTTAGGGACCCAAATCCAGGTCGTAAGTCGAAAATGCTTAAATAATACACAGGAAATCTAAAATGGGTGTCTCTTTTTCTTCTCAGCACCACAAAACTCTCACTTTTAAGCTTGCCAGCCATTTTAAAGTGAATTACAAACAAAAATTTTGTCAGTAGACAGCGCTATCACTAACGTTGGGACTCGAAAATACATAATTTGACAAAATTTTGGTACGACTGAGGCGGTCGTATGTCCAAGTGGTCGTAAGTCAAGGAGTAGCTGTAGTAATATCTCTTTTAGCCGGAATCCCTCAAACCTGGAACTCACCGTAGCCGGAATTTAAATTTTCTTGGAAAATCGTTCCCAAAGCCAAATTTTTCCGGAAAAATCTGTGAAAATTTTCCCGATACCCGGAAAATTACGGGCATGGGGGAGTTTTTTCCGGGTTTGAGAGATGAAAATCGGGCGTATTTCCTGGAAATTCCGAGAAAATTTTTCCATTACCTGGATAATTCTGGAAAAATCCGGGGAAGAAGGATATTTTTCTGGGTTCAAGAGATAATGTAATGGGCAATTTCTGGAACTTCCGAAAACATTTTTCCGTTACCCAGAAAATTTCAGGGATGAGGGATTTTTTTCCGGCTTTGAGAGAGTCGTCTTGTTACCCGGAAATCTCTCATTCCCGGAAGTGCTCTGCACCAATTGTTCCGACTAATGGAGATATCACTGTAAAGTACAGTATATGTGAGGTTTATAATTATCACATTGGTATGTTATGGTGAGGGTGTCCTGTTGCTATGTTATAGTTTGTATCTTGCTCTTGTGAGACCTCACTTGGATTACGCAGTTCAATTCTGGTCACCGTATTACAGAATGGATATAGAATCCTTGGAAAGAATTCAGAGGAGAATGACAAGACTAATCCCGGGCATTAGGAACCTTGAGTAGAGACAGGTTAAGGCATCTTAATTTGCACTCCCTCAAGAGACGTAGAGCGAGGGGCGATATGATAGAGGTGTATAAATGGAAGTCAGGGCTGAACAAAGGGGACATTACAAAGGTACTCAAACTATCCAACCAGGAGCGAACTCGTAACAATGGTTTTAGATTAGACAAATTTAGATTTAGGCGCGAAATAGGTAAATAATGGTTTGGAAATAGAGTAAAGGATGAGTGGAACAAGTTACCAAATATCATCATTAACTCAAATACGCTGGATAGCTTCAAACATAGGATGGATTGATGTATAAGTAATAGGGGTTGGGTGTAAATGGGACTGCCCAGTATGGGCCAATAGGCCCGCTGCAATTTCCTCCATTCTTATGTTCTAATGTTCTTATAAACCTCAAAATTATACAGATTTATGTGGTCTTGGGATTAGCTATACGTCGGAAAATCAGCTACGGTAAACCTTCATTAATACACAACCTCAACAGATGAGATTCACGTGAACACCTGAATCAATATAAGACTTTTATTTTCCATATGGGTCTTCTCTTATCAATATTGTTTCTGCACCAAAATTCCTGTATGCAATCACTGCCACTTGGCCAGTTATCCTGCCACCCCTGCATCACATCCCCCCACTAAGCAACTGTTTACATTTTGTGGACCAAATAGCCCAGAGATACCAATTTGGTGCATCACTCACACCTATTGGAGGTTCTGAGAGACAGACTGATTGTTTGGGTTTTAGAAGTGTAGGTTAATTATTTATGTGGGTGGTGAGTGAGAGATGTCTCCAAGGCCACCAACAGCTCTCACCAGTGTTGATGTTCACCATCCTCAATAAATGATTATCCTAAACTTCTACAACCCAATAACAAGATTGAAAAGGGTAAGAGGAGAATAATGTGGATAAGAAACACTGGAATATGGGTAATTTGCATACAATATTGCCATATCCGTACTTGTATTTAAAAGCCAAAATAAAATATAAGCATATTTGTAAATAAACTGTGTGATTTATGATATAAATTTAGATACAAACTCAGCTATTTTAACAAACAACTGCAGTAAAACACGGATCCTCTGTACAGTATTACAAACTTGGTAAAATATGACTTACCATCTGACTTCCAAATACAGATAACAAGCCAGCACTTAAGATTATGGCAAATCTCATGACCTGGGCTTCCTGTTCTTTGCGATTTGGCAGAACCCAACACAGTACCCCGAAGATTAGCCCAAAGAGCAGACCTACAAGCACTTCAAATGGTCCTTTCAGGATGACCACCCACAATTCACCTGGAATAGCATGTGAACTCAATGATCATTTTAAAAAATCTGTGGGAGAAATCTTTGCATAAAATCCTGCTACTTTACTTGAAAGAAAATGTAACATGGATATACAGAAAATTAGTATGTATAGTAGATGTATTAAAGTGAAATTTATAATTCTAGCACAGTACAGTATAAGAAACAGCAGGATGAAAAGATGAAAGGAAATTGCTGTGCTAAAGTCTGCACAAATCTTTGTATAGGGTACAGTACAGTATTGCAAGATCCATGAATACTACTGTATTAATAAAATACTATTTATTACTAACCCTCAGCAAAGGTTATTCCCAAGAGAATGCCAAAACCTGAAATAGCAAGGACGTCGTCAATGGTAGAGGCAGCAATAACAAGTGTTGGAATGCCCTTTTCCACACCATAGCCCTTCTCTGACAGTACCAGCATGCACGGCACAATGACTGCTGGGGTCACCGCTGATAAGACAAACCTGGTGGTGGGGTACCAGTATATTAATACTGTAATTTTGAACTTTTATTATGTATACTTGAAAATCTTGCACTTCAATGGGAAACAAGAAAATTAATTAATAATCTGGATAAGCTGATCCTGATGTCAGGAGTTGAGTGATTGTAATTTTTCACGGGGAGTCACAAAAAAACACTTACAGTTGCTTTGAATGAGGGCTTTACACCTGTGTCTCCAGATCCTTCAATGACTGTACAACAATGATCAATATTATAATGATCAGATTAGTGGCTTTGTAACATATATTCAAAGCTCTCTAGTTGTACTGTTTATGATATTTTTGAGCTGTCTAGTGCTTGTCTTTCAGCAGATAGACAATGAAGATGTCAGCTATGAAGTAAAAGACAAGTTTCACATCTGCAACTTATGATGATAAGCAATAAATTTGTGACACCTATGACAAGATATTTCTGTATGACTATAAATCAACAACACCAATTTTTGCATGCAACATTGTCATGTACAGTATCTGTAGAGGCAATATTCTCTTCACTGAAGAACCTGCCAAAAGTCCCATCTAAAACCTCAACAGATATCAATTCTGACCTTAGAATCTAATCCCCTGTCTTAAACTGTCTTTACTGTTGCCCCAACATCAAATTTCTTCACCAGGGAACGGCTATACAGAACTGTTACTATAATAATAGAAAATATATATGTCAAAGCTAACATTTTTGTTGTTGAAAACAATGGAGTCTAGATGTTTGACTGCCCTTTCCCTCACAAGATGGGCTCACTACATCCTGAAAATTATATTCATCTTTTAAAAATTATTTGTAATTAAACTGCTAAGACAGTGCTGATAGCAACACCTCTTCTAACAAATTTTATGGTAAATGAGTTTTAGACTCTGAAGTGTAGATATACTACAGTATACAGTCCTGTATATTTTTAAATATTAACAGATTTAGTTTCTTAGATAAGGATACCGTACATCTATCCTATTTTCAATGCTATTAAGAGGTCTAGTACTTGTTCATCAGTAACAGGGGAATTAAATTTATAGCACGCACTATCTGACATCAGGTAAGCTGACAATTTATTTTTACAGTAATTTCAAAATGTTACACAAATGATCACATTCAACTCATTAGCAAATTTGAGGTTGTCTTACAAAAAAAAACTATAGAAAATTGTATCTGTTTATCACACCAAGATCACTACAGTTGAAGTAACTTCTGTACTGCCTCGACCCAATCAAACGTGGCATCATATACTCAACTCTTGGTTCTGCCAACTTTCATTAAAAATTAAAAAGTCAAATTAAGTCACAATCCAATCAAAGGGCACAATTAGATCGCTATTAATACTTAACATAACTCTGAATTAGGCTCTATGCTGGGGTGATTTATGAAGTGAAAGGTATATTCCAGACAGACATTTTGGGGCTTTGTTATGAAGAGGAGACAAAACAGCAGGATAGGGTAGGGTAGCTAGAGGAAGAGTCTGTGCTGCAGACAAAGGCTTGGACTTGTAAAAAAAAAAAAGTTCTTTGTGAGGTTTTGAAGTATCTAATCCATCCAATTTATTTGAAAGTATATAAATCTGACTACAACACTGCTGTATATGGCTATCAAATAGTTCCTGTACACCTGCAATAACTAAGAATAGTTATATACCTTGTTCTATTTACAGTAAGTATTAGAAAAGGTGAAAGTTAATGTTGCAGTATTAATTACAATAAGGACTAACTACAGTACAGTAAATTGTTAATTATTTAACTGTATAGGGACTTTTCGATCAGCCCTGGATATAAAGTTTGGTAAATAAAAAAAATATATATCTTTTGAATTAATATACTGTACATTGTACTGTAAAGTTGTTTTGTTAATACAGTATATTTATGACTGTGATAACTGTGGAATCATTATGACAGAAGACAACAGGACATGAGTGTATTTAAATATACAAGTGATTCTATTTGAGTATGGACAGTTGGAAAAGAAATTTTAGCTGGACAGGCAGTATGAGGTTGGGTCAAGAGCAGTTACATATTTGGGATGTACTGTACTGTGCTTTCAATGTGTATAGAGAAGTGTAATCTAATATCCGAGACAGAGTTGGAGAACATGTAAATTTCCAAAGCTTAAATGAAATAAAATAAAAATAAGAGCTATCAGGTGTAACAATGTTTGTTAGTTGAGCAAAAGTACTGCTGAATGTGGGTGTCTGAACTATGCTCTAATTGGAAGGTGGATTAAAGAAGATGAAGAAATATCAGCTGTAGAGTCTCACCCCAGCATGAGGCCCCATAGCCACGGGAAACCTAGAAGCAAATGGGAGACGGTAGCAACCACGATTGTCTCTATGATGCATGGGGAGAAGGCTAGTCGTACTACCATGAAACTGAGTTGCTTCAATGCTGCTGGATCCAGTCCCAGGCCAGCACGTAGGAGGATTACCACCAGTGCAATGTTTCTGCAAGAAGACACAATGGTAAGTATGAATTAGAACAAGACAATCATCTAAATACCCTGCAACAGAAATAATATTAAAATTAGAGCATCTCCTTCTATCCCAGTAATCGTCTACAAACTTTTATTAAGATATTTTCTTTAAAGGTTTTTGAGTTATGATCTTTTAACAAAACTCAGGCTGATGGACAGAGAAACTAAGAAAACCCTTTTCTATTCTCCTAACTTTCTTGAACAGGTGAAAAAGGCCTGAATGATAGACTAATTCATTCAACTCCCTCTTCATAGATACAAGTATCATTTTAGCAATGACTGTCTCTCATCTTTCTTTACATAATTATTATATTTTATAATACTATACAATTTTAATTAGGATTATTATTTAAGTACTGGTACATCCAGATCTTCACCTTTTCTAAACTAACACAAGGGAATCCAAAATCACTTCATGTTTATTAATGTTATCTTTCTCTAAACTTGAGATAAGTTTGACAAAAAATCCTTCAACAGTTTCTGTGTAATGAAGAGCACTGAGTGTACACAGATGGAGAACAATCATATACTGTACTGTAGTCTCACTCTGGTTTCACTGATAATGGACAAATAAGAATGATTACAGTACAAATGCTGATAGAAAAATAATTAAATCTATGATAAAGCAGGCCCCTCCTGGGGAAGGAGGCACACTTTAAATAACATTATGATCAGCTGTGGGAGTATTAGCAGGGCAATTTTTAACAGTCTTGCACATATTTTCTTTATAGGATGCACATTGGCTGGAATCAAGTGCAACACAAACTCTCTATTCATTTCCTGTCATTTTTCTGTTACATCACATGTGCTCTGTTATACCATTTTCCTGCCACAGGATGGCATCTTTATATCAGTCTCCTTTCACAGCCCAGTGTGTCCATCCTCAAGAATACAGCAAAATTTGCCTGGCATCTGGGGTATTACTCATACTGTGCAAAATACAATCGCTTAACGAGCAATATGCATTCTTGAACAGGTACTTGTTCGGTGAATTCTAGTTCAATGGGACACATCTTCCCACAGGATCCTATATCAAAAGCTGAGATGTGTTTCAGCCAAAAAACTTTGAATGGAAAACTCCATGGTAGAAACATAGTTGTGCTCCAACCCAAAATTTGCATACCCTGCAATTGGTCACCGTTTCTCTGTGGCTGTCGGTCACACTAGAATAGCCCATTATATTACATCTTTCTTTCCTCACACAGCCAAACTGTGGAATGCTCTGCCTTCTTCTTCAAAAACCCGGTTGTCCATCATCTCTGTGGTGTAGAATAATATAATCTTTTTCTCAATTTTTTATTTCTTTCTTTTGCCAAGGTGGGCTATTCCCCGTAAAACGAAAGAAAAAAAAGCCACTACAAATGGCATTACATTATATCATATGTAGTATTAGGATCATCTTGAAGTAGTTGCCACAATGCCAAGAACCTATCGCAAATCATATACAGTGAACCCTCACTTTACGCGGTTAATTCAACCCACAGGGTACCGCGGAAAGTGAGAAACGCGTAAAGTGAACAACATAACATATGGGATTAATTGAAATAGAGACCGGCTGACCCCCAAACTCTACTTTTTCAGACACAATACCTACGTTGTAGTAAAAATAACTTCTTAATTTTATGATGGTATGCACACACAATTAATAATTAAGAGAAATATCAATAATATTAGGTTTTTTAACACTTACATTAGTAGAAAAGATGGCTGGGCAGATTATTGGCCCTCACCTGTATCACTTGTATCAATTGTATCACTATCCACCACAGAGGCTTGCAGGGCCTCTTTATCAAACCCCTCAAAGTCCATATAAGTCCATATCCTCACTATAATTATCACTATCACTTACTTGAGCTGGCTGTGGTGGGTGGTGGGTGAAGAACTCGGTAATGTTTTGATGACTGGGCGACCTTGTGTGCACCCTGCTCGCGCTGCTTACACAACATGGCGGATGGCGGGAGAGGGCGGGAGGTTTGGATCCAAAAATGGCGCGGCTCGCCAGCCGCTCTCCGCGTAAAGGGGTACACGCACCGCGGAATGTGAGCATTCCAGTTTCGGCAGGGTACCGCATAAACATGGAAACGCGGAATGTGGGACCGCATAAAGCGAGGGTTGACTGTACCTATATACTTAATGTGCTAAAATAATTTGTGTTTATCATTCCATTTCTTTAAAAAAAATTAATATTTATTCATAAAGAAGCAGTGTCAGTGAGCAGCATCTCATGGGTAATCATCTGCCTAGCATGCAGTGCACTGTGGGCGTAACATCAGACTGCAGAATGCTTAAATGGCGGGGAGAAACATGAAAATTTGTATTTACGATAACAGTACAGTGGTCCCTTGGTTAACGAACACAATTCGTTCCAGAAGGTAGCTCGTTAACCAAAAATTTCGTTAACCGAATCCATTGTTTCAATGGGATATTGGGTAATTGGTTCCAGCTTACCGAAAAGTACATACAAAGTAAAAAAAAAAAATGCAGTAAAATACAATTACTTTGAGGTGTGTATGTAGAAGGCTCCTGGCTGATGATGATGATGGGAATTAGAAGTGGAGGTGAAGGGAGAAGAGAAGGAAGTGGGGATGGAAGAGAAATCACCCCATGCTTGATGCCTCATTTCACCAATAAAATTTTAAGTTCACTAGGTGTAATTCAAGATTATTTTCTTTACATCAACACTGCACTGCACTATATATTGTCAATATGTTAAATAAATTTCAGAATGACCAATAATTGTACTGTAGAAAAGTAAAAATACTCTGTGTTCAAGAGACCCACAAGCAAGATGTTTCCTCCACTGAACAGAGATACAAACTGAGGCCTTGGTGGGTGAGTAAAGTGGCTGATGGGCACACCAAAAACTAGTTCCCTGTACTGCAATTGTGTTAAATAAGTGTTAAAATGACTAATAATTTTAATATAAAACTTGGAAAAATATTGAATAACACAACCTTCTTTATATTTACTCCAATGGAAACGAATATAAGCCCTAGAACCGATTACTGTATTGGCAGACTAATCTTCCAGCTGGTGAGCAAGCCACGTAAGAATTTCGTTAACCGAATTGAAGATTCTTATTGAAGGTAATTCGTTAACCGAAATTTCGTTAACCGGAATTTCGTTAACCGAGGGACCACTGTAATTTACTGTACAGTATATCATAATATGAAAACCAAGGCTGTTTAAGGGTAGTTATACAATTTTTTTGTAATTTCTCTCTAAACACTACAGTCATCTTGTGAGTGGTAGCCAATGTAAACAAATCAGTAACCCACTCTACCATGTACAGCCAGTCAGGCCATGAAATGCCCATATAGCCAACTATTTTTCTTACTTTTTAAGTTTTACACAATGCAAAATTACTATTCTTTATTCAGATACAGTATACTAATTAACTTGGAGCTGAAGTGTTGAAAGATAAACAGACAGGAGGAGCATTCAGCCATAAGCACCCGAGATGCTAAATGATCTTTGATACTTTACCGGAGATTTTTTATTTATTTTTTTTTTTTTTTTACGGGGAACAGCCCACCCAGGCACAGGTCATCGACCCACAGTGGGGCCAAGGGGGTGAAAAAATAAGAGGAAAAAGACAGAACTAAAAATAGAGAAGAAAAAAATTACTGTACAGTACAGGTACTGTATATCAATCTATACCACAAAGATGCCGGAAAACCTGCTTTTTAAAGTGAGACAGATTGTATGAGTATAGAAACACAGAAGGCAGAGCATTCCACAGTTTGGCTGCGTGAGGAAATAAGGATGTACTATAACGGGTTATTCTAGTGTGACCGACAGCCACAGAGAAACTGTGGGCACCGCGGGCAAGGCGAGTGTTACGAGCCCACAGCCTTGCTGGCGGTACACAGGATGCCAAATCCACCGAACATTGCCTATTAAAGTACTTGTAAAAGAGAGAGAGATTGAAGCAACATTGTGGCGAAGAGAAAGGAAAGGAAGATTATCAACTAAAGAAGGAGAGTCAATAAGACGAAATGCCTTTGATTCCACCCTATCTAACAGTTGGACAGAAGAGCCACCCTAGAAATGAGAGCAGTACTCCAAGTTAGGACAAATGAATCCCTTATAAACGTGAAGCAACTGCTCAGGAGTGAAGTAGCTACGGCATCTGTACAGCATTCCCAGCTTTCGGGAGGCTAAATGCTAAATGATCTTTGATACTAAACAATTACTACCTTATCATTTTGCACCATCAATTTTATATTTGTTTTAAGACATTTTAAGCGCACATAGTTAAAATATATAATGCTTTCTGAGTAATGGAAGAAGGTTCTGAACAACACAAATGTTACCATATTGTCTAAGTTCACTGGTTGGCCAGGCTGGGTCAGTCTACCAATGACTTCACCTTAAGAGTACTGTATAGAAAATGAGTTTAAAGGTGCACTAAGATGGCAGGATGCTCACACAAAGAAACAACATGACTCGCCCCACTCCACTACCTGTAATGATAATTACTGATGGTCACTAGTAATTCTGCTCGTTAATTTAAAAAGAAACTCGTTTGTTGAATTTTCATACCCTAAAACACCAAGCTCGTCAATACAAATTCTCCATCACCAGTTACTTGTTCAGCATGATCTTACTGTATAGAGCTGTATATCAATGCATCAATGAATATCAAGCATTTATAGAGTTTAAATAATTAATCAGTGCACATTGAATTCTTTCATATTAATTACTATGTCCTAAAAAGAGGTGATCAGAACATAACCCTATATGTGGATGACGAATAATCCATCTCCTACAAGTTTACAAGCAACTCCCATCCGAGAATAAGAAATACAAAAAACATGATAAAGGTGAGCATAATCAAAAATATATAACACTAACCGTAAAGCTGAAGCCCAGTCCCGGTCGATGTTTTTGCCAATTTCACTTATCCCCGGGACACTCTTCAACAGGATGCCAACAACGAGCATACCAAGAAGAGGTGGCAGCCTCAGCGGTGTGATGGCATGTCCTCCAACCAAGGCCAAGACAAAAAGAACGCAGAGGGAGAAGATGTTGCCACCTGGCAGAGATGTGGCCCCTAAGATAGAGACCAAGGAGCCAAACACCAGAAGGATGATGAGCACTAATGTCAGCCATTTTCCAACCTGAAATATCAGATACTGTACATTCAGACCCTATCAATGTAAAATAATAATAATAGTCTGGAAAACATTCAGCAGCAACATAGATCTCCCTAAACTTCTTCAAGTTCTGTTCAAAGTTATGGTAGCAAACATTTATCTAAACAGTTGAACAATCCTAAAAATAGTTAAAATACATATTATGGTTGAATGTATAATGGCTGTGAGAGCAAAATTACAGTATAACAAGACAGGAGTGTCGGGGGAATCCTGTGAAAATATTACTATACAAAGTACAGTAATATCTCCCTTAGCAGGAATTGAAATTTTCTCAGGGGGCACATTTTCCGTAAAATTCCCCCCAAAATTTCCCGATACCCGGAAGATTCTGGGGAAGGGGGAGTTTTTTCCGGGTTTGAGAGGTGATGTAATGGGCAATTTCTGGAACTTCCGAGAAAATTTTTCCATCACCCGGAAAATTCCGGGGACGAGAGATTTTTCCGGCTTCAAGAGTCATCTCGTTAACTGGAAATCTCTCATTCCCAGAAGTGCTCTGCACCAATTGTTCCGGCTAACGGGGATATCACTGTACATATACTGAATGTAAGATACTAACAGATGGCAAGAATACATAAAATATCAACTATTAGAGAATGTATTTATTTCATGACTTGGAACAACTTCACAATTATAGTCAACAAAGATAACCGGTATGCTTGTTAACACTCACAGTGCCGTGTGGAGGACATAGGAAGGAGTATTTCAGGAGCTGCAGGAAAGTTGGATTCGATGACAAAGGATTGTGCTTCCTGGACAAAGGATGGTGGCAGGAAGAACAACTAAGTAGACACTTTTTGATCTTGCTCTCTTGTACTGGTCCTTCATGCTCCAGGAATGATCCGTCTCTACTCTGAAGGCTTGATGTCACTTCTACTGCATCTATGGTGGCTGCTCTTCCCCCTGCACAAATATATCAAGCTTAATTAATATTTGAAGATTTAGACTGACTGTTCAACACAATATACTACAATGAATGTATATCTTACAAAATTCATAAACTTGTGTTTTACAGCCACATAAATAGTACCTGTATTGGTATATACATCAAGTACTGTACAAGTACAGTATACCTCACTATGTTACCTTGTTTTAAGTGGTTTTGTGTACACGTGTATACTTCTGGCAATGTAACCTCTCGATAATGAAGTTTGTTTTTCCCTTTATTGCTTAAAATTAAGAAAAAATAATTAAAAGCAAATAAAACTAATGGAATCCAACAAGAATGCAACACCATGGTTGTTTTTTTTATTTCAGCCAATCAAAATGAAATGTGTAACTCAACATATCATTCGTCACAAGTCAGCTAGGGCCTGTGAAATGGAAATACATGTCGCCATTGTTAAATGTAATGAAACCATAAAAGTTATGTAAAAATAATTTCAATACTCTAATGTGACATAGAAATACAAAAATATATAATAAAATTATAGAATAAGAAATATGAAAAGCCTGGGTGTGTATTCTGTGTGGGAGGTGATCGTATGTGTGGAGGCAGTGGACAGTTTGTCACTAGCGCATCTGGCAACTCAGCTGGTTAGGCCCACAGTAAAACTGTATCTCCCTTTGACGGAATCCCTCTTAACCGGAACTCTCCGATAGCCGTAATTTAAATTTTCTCGGAAAATCGTTTCCAAAGTCAGAATTTTCCAGAAAAGTCAGGCATAAGGAATGTTTTTTCCTAGGGGCACATTTTCTGGAAAATTCAGAGAAATTTTTCCCAGTTCTCAGAAAATTCTAGGGATGGGGGAGTTTTTTCCAGCCTCAAGAGAGTCGTCTCATTACCCAGAAATCTCTCATTCCTGTTAGTGCTCTGCACCAATTGTTCCAGCTAATGGAGATATCACTGTATTTCAGTTTACGGTAAACACGAGCACATCCCAACTACCTCTGTAGTTACTGGAGGCATACTAATACGTACATTGTTGATGAATATCCTGTATCCTTAAAACACCAGACAGTCACCTCATTCCTCCCCTTCAACCACAGCAGCTCATGCAAAGTACTATGTATCTCAAAAACGTTTCTGTCGACATTCTGTGTGAAACATTATGAGACCACGGATGATAGATATTGGAACATGCATTTACTTTGGTATATAGTTTAAAATAAGTAATGCAATGTGTATTTATTTTGGCGTACGGTGGTCTCTCGATTAACGATCACAATTCGTTCCAGAAGGTCGTTCGTTAACCGAAAATTTTGTTAACCGAATCCATTGTTTCAATGGGATATTGGGTAATTGGTTCCAGCTCACCGAAAAATACATACAAAGTAAAAAAAAAATGCAGTAAAATACACTTACTTTGAGGTGTGTATGTAGAAGGATCCTGGTTGATGATGTTGATGGGAATTAGACGTGGGGGTGGAGGAGAAGGAAGTGGGGGTGGAAGAGAAATCACCCCATGCTTGATGCCGTCATTTCACCAATAAAATTTTAAGTTCACTAGATGTAATTCAAAATTATTTTCTTTAAATCAACACTGCACTGCACTATATATTGTCAATATGTTAAATACATTTCAGAATGACACAACCTTCTTGATATTTACTCCAATGGAAACGAATATAAGCCCTGGAACCGATTATGTATTGGCAGACTAATCATCCAGCTGGTGAGCAAGCCAAAACATGTTGACATGTTTTCGTAAGAAATTCATTAACCGAAATTTTGTTCGTTAACCGAATTGAAGATTCTTATGGAAGGTAATTCGCTAACCGAAATTTCGTTAACCGAGGCGTTCGTTAACCGAGGGACCACTGTATTTAATATAATGTTCTGTTACAAAATCTAGTAGGATCAGTATACCACAGAGCCACGCATACCAACCATCACGGGACACAAAGCCACACATACCAACCCTCCCAGGACACAGAGCCATGCATACCAACCCCCCGGGACACAGAGCCACACATACCAACCCTCCCAGGACATAAGACGAGTTGCATGTAACATTGTACACACTCATATTCCTGTCAAGAACCTTTTACTGTATAAAAAAATAAAAAATAACTAAAACTATACTTGGTACAGTATTTCATAAATTACTAATTTCATTACAAACCCAACAGATTTTAAGATATTTAAATACAGTATAGCTTTATATGCAAGTAAATCACTGTGGATGCACGTGATCCAGGTATATGCTGATAACCACAAGGAAAGAAGAAAATACGAAGTTCCCAAGCGCTTTCGTGTAATTCACATCTTCAGGGGTGAGTACAGACGTCTGTACTCACCCCTGAAGATGTGAATTACACGAAAGCGCTTGGGAACTTCGTGTTTTCTTCTTTCCTTGTGGTTATCAGCATATAGCTTTATACCTATACACTACATATTGGTACAGTTACTGGAGATTGTGTTTCATTTTACACACACACAGGAACAGCTGCACCTGGCCTAATTAAGGCAAAATACACTAATTGTCCCTGTATTCATAACAAACAAACCAAAGAATGACATTAATTGTAGAAACAGAATAAGAGGTGTACTGTGCTGCAATCTTTGGACCATTGTTATAATGTGCAGGAGGAGGCAATCTTGCCACTTTGTCTCGGTAACTCCAATCTCCAGCCAGCCTCTATACAATGTCTCCTCAACCATCTTGGGTATATTTTACATCTAAATATTTGTCTCATCTTACAATAATATAACTTATGCATTCAATTAATATTTTGGTGAGAAAATCCCAGGAAGGCCATGGTAAACTTGTGATCACTATACAATACGTTGTTTCACTTGACACCATACTCTTCAAGAAAGCATGCCCAATGTATAGCGAGGCATACATTTATTCTTTACTATGTTATACAGTAAATTCATGAATGAAGACCATAAGAATAGTAAGGGAGAGGTAACTGTTGAGGTATTGAAACATTATATATTCATAGTAAGGAATACTTTTTCTTGCTGCTTGGAATACTTTTTCTTGCTGCTTAGAATACTTTTGATGTATATTGCATACTATGAGACGAGAGACTAACCAGAAATTATCACATCACACCAACCATAAAACTGGTGCTCAGTCCCACAGCTTATATAACCTTATGATTAACCACCCTAATACATGTACTAACCTAATCCCCTTGTTAACATTAGGGTGGTTAATCACGAGGTGGAATAACCTGGGAGCTATACTTCGGGTTATCCAAAATTTTAAGCACTTTCAAACAATTAGGATATCGAGGCCTACAGTATATTACAATAAGTTATTAAATACTATTCGTTTATATACTGTACAAACCATCAGACTGGTGCTGAGACGAGTCCATAGCTGGACCATTCAAGGTGTCGACAAAGCTGGTCATGGTCAGGTTATCCATGACACAGTTTTTTCTGGGTTTTCAGATTCCTCACCACTGGGCATGAAGGACCAACTCCATACAAGAAGCCCTGCTGTTAACATTCCATCACTGCAAAGTTAAATAGTAAAAGTATACATGTATATGCTTATCATTTACAGTAGTATACAGTAATTTCAATCTAAATAGCGGCTAACTTTTTAGAATTTAATATTCAAATGTATTCTTGTGGCAACTTCAATTATTAATTATATTGTTGATCCATCGGACAGGTTAAGTTTGTACTGTGCAGTATAGCATACTAGCAGATATTTTTCTTCACCAAGTTTTACATTAGCTATACTGTATTTAGTATTAACAAAATTTGTTAGCTAATGCTTTAATTTCCAATAAACTATACCAGTATGTCAACAAAATTGCCTGTGATTTTCACAAAATTCAAACATTAACTAAATCCATTTACAACAGTAAAATATCCTCCACTTAAAATTATGTACCAGGTACATGTACAGGCAGTCCCAGGGTTACGAATAAGTTCCATTTCTGGGGACATTCTTTAGTTGAAAATGTACTCAAGTCGAACACATGCTATGTGCGGAACAATGTTTAAATTCCAACTATATCACAGCCTAAGTCCTTGTATACATCTAAAATCACTTAATTTAAGAGTAAAGAAGATCTAGAATGATAAACTATAGTAAATAAAAGTAAAAAATAAGTCAAGTAAATAAAATGCTGTAGATTTAAAGTTTAACCTCATTCGTATCAGCGGATGTTCTTAAGTCGGACGTTCATAACCCGGGGACTGCCTGTACAGCTGTTTATCACGTGATGATGAATCAATAAAGTTCTCACACATCAATAAGGAATACTATTGGAAAAATGTACGCTCTCACCAAAAACTTCAACGCTATAAGCACTGTGCAATCTGAAAAATGAAGGAAGAATCTGAAACCATTCCAAAATGACAAGCCCCATTCTGTTTATTCTCATATCCATCATGGCCAGGTGTTCGAGAAAATTTTTTGGAGAGTGTACATAAATGACAAAGCTGTACCAATACAGTACAGTATATTTAAAGTAAAAGGTGTCTTTTAGTTCATGAGTTTGTGAGGGGAGGTTATTACAATTTTGTTTAGATATTACTAAACACCAGGCTATTTCTTTTTCCAAACAAGTAAAGGACATCTGAACTTGCAATCACACAAACTTTAGTACAAAATAAGAGTGTGAACTTAAGACATTTTACTTCCAATTTCAATCCACAAAAATTTCTACATACAGTCAAACAAAACACACCAGCACCTATTTAATGAGAGCCACTCTGGTTCACCACTCATTGTACTCAAGGGAGAATTGGGGTTTTACCAATTTAAACTTACCCATGTACAGTCAGCCAAATGTTCGTATATTTGCTTAAATAATGAAGAAAATTTGATCTGAGAATCTTGTGGCAGCCCTCATTGTAGTTGAGTTGCCAATTCATTAATATAATTTCTTCATTATTTAGGCAAATATACGAACATTTGGAAACTTCTCATCATCTTAAAAAACAATGAATAGTTTATTATAAAACTGCTACTTTTGCATTGTTTAATATTTATCCTGACAGTGATCCAGTCAAAAATAGATCCACCAATCATGATCACCTTTACATACAACCTTACTTTACCAGGTATTGCCAGGTAAAATTATGAGTACGAGATCCAGGGTGGGGTCGTTGCGTCTTTGGCTGACTGTACATACTATTGTCCATTTAAAGTTACCTGATGAAGACACCCCCTTGTAGGTGAATGGGTGGTACATAATGGCGGGAGAAGGAACCCTATAACTCTTCCTAATTTTTAAATTTCTTCATATAGCCCCAGGGGACAAGAATAAACTCTTGTGCGATGTAATTGTGGCCCCTCGAGTTCACCAAATCATGGTTTAACAATCAAGTTGGTGGCCTGATCCAGTTTTACCAAGAAAATCGTTGCATCTGATTCACCATACAATTAACTAGAGAGTTTCTCTCTCTCCTACTATGTCACTCACACATTTATGAAACGTTTGGGTCTTGGATGATTTTTACCAATCCTGACCACCATTGCCCACTTTTCACTTGTACAGTTATGGATATGTGTTCCTACACCCCCTATGGTAGCCCATCTGCAAACGGTAACGTCGCAGTAGTAGCATCATGACCAATACGCATGCATTCATTCATAGTGATAATACAGTACTACTGCGATGTTGCCGTCTGGAGACACGGGTTACCACAGGGGTGTAGGAACATATTTCCGAAACTGTACCTGACAATGGAGTCCACTGAAAAGGTGCTGGCAGCTTTGGAATAGTGATGTTTGATTTGAATTTATTGGGTAAAATTCACAGATGCATATATATGGTAAAGAAAAAAGCGAGACGGATTGGGAACGCCAACGTATGTAATTGTGTACATGTAAAAACATATCATTTCTCTTCATAAGAATATGAAAGCAGCACTTAAATTTTTACTGTTTATATGTTTTAAATAATACTTAACATTTACTTTTAGCTTTTGAACCAGCACTACCATCACTTTTGCTTATGTTGTATAAGAACGCAAAAATAACGTAAGAAATCCGAGAATGTTTTTCTCCTTTTCCTGTTCAGATGCGTGAAAACAAAGGGCCCGCCAAGCTGCAACTGTTTATACTAGTGATGCTGGTATCACCACTCACAAGCCTGCCAGCCTCCGTGCGCAAAGCGTGTTTTGTTTTTTTATAATACATATCGGAATTTAGTTATTATTTATATGAAAAACTTAATTTTTTACTATTTTCGTCATAAATACAAAGAAAATAATGGTGTAAATTGAATTGGGTCCTAAATTAACCATGGTCTTAAATGTGAATCTTTGTTAGTAGAACCGTCGTTATCGGAGGCTTTCCTGTACTGTATATGATTTAAACAGCATAAGATGAACCAACCTTACCTATGTAATTTTAAATATACTATTAGGAAAGTAACTGACAAAAAATGACCCATTAGCCGGAACAATTGGTGTAGAGCACTTCCGGGAATGAGAGATTTCCAGGTAAAAAGACAACTCTCTCTTAGCCGGAAAAAATCCTTCATCTCCTGAATTTTCCGGGTAACGGAAAGATGTTCTCGGAAGTTCCAGAAATTACCCATTACATCATGTCCCGAACCCCCAAAAATATTCCTCATCCCCAGAATTTTCCGGGTAACGGAAAATTTTTCTCAGAATTTCCAGAAAATGCGCCCGATTTTCATCTCTCAAACACAGAAAAAAAACTCTCCCATCCCCGGTATCCGGAAAATTTTATCAGAATTTTTCAGAAAACGTGCCCCTTGGAAAATCGTTCCCAAAGCTGGAATTTTCTGGAAAATTTCAGCTTTGGGAATGATTTTCTGAGAAAATTTCAATTCCTGCTATCAAAGAGTTCCGGGTTCGAGGGATTCTGGCTAACAGAAACATTACCGTATTTCCCAAAATTTCGCCTTAATAGTTTTACATTCTTCTAGTTCCAAAGGAGCTGCTTCTGTCTGCCATGTTTATTTTCTGAAATTGAGGGTTTGTTCATTCAGTCAATCATTTCAATAATTTATCATTCATAATATAAAGAAAACTAACCTAGTTTTCTATTTCTTTCTCTTTTAAAATTAAATAAAATTCCTTTCTGTGAAAGGAATAATTTTTAGTCAAAATTTTTGTTCTTTTCTTGAAGTGGGTTCTTTGAGAGATTCACTATGGTTCAAAAAGTGTTGTTTCTCACACCATTTCCTGGATGCCATTGGTGCACTCTGGTCACCTCAGTATTAATTTAAGTTCCTTCTACTCTTAGGTTTGGTTAGGTCAGGGCCTGTTTGGTTCTGTAATTTTTTCCCTAAGTTTACTTGATTTTGTTTGATTTCGTTACATTTGGTTCAGTCACCGCAGGTTAGGTTAGGTTCTGTGAATTATTCTAATCATACAATAAAATTTCTTCGTTCAATTCCATTACATTAGGTTAGGTCAGGTTCTGTGCATTCTTGAATCAATTAAAATACTTACTATCATCCATAAAATATCTCTGAAAATTTTGGTCCAATTCCATAAGCTCCTTCTGGTGTTAGCCATCTGTTCCACCTTTATCAAAATTTCCTCTAGTTAGTGCCAGGACCAGACCGCTCTCATTAAGTACTTCCGATTCACTTTGTCATAGCCCATTCAACACCAGACTTGACCACCACTGGTGTAGGTCCCGATACTGTACATTCTGGAGCCAGTACATGCCCAGTACTTGCCAACAATGTGTAACAGACGTGACCAAGCCAATCAGTAGTGAAAAGGATAAAAGTAAAATCTACGAGAAAATTTGTTGGAAGCATTCGTACCTACCACAAAAGTACAGTACAGTAGTAGGTACACATTATTCATTGTACTATAAAAAACCAAGTAAAAACAAAATTATGAAACATCGTAATTCCCGGTTCTAGATGTAAGGGAAAAGTATTCTTCAATACATATTTACCTGCAGTTGAAAAGAATTAGTTGATATGCATCACATGTTAGGCAATGCCATACACATTCACAAAGGATTACAAGGAGTATTGAGCAAACTTATTTCCGATGTTCATAAACTAACTCCAGAAGGAAAAAGAAAGTAGGTCTGTTAAGAACTTATAACATATCAATACTTGTTAACACACATTCGCTGGTAATAGTGGAGCAGATGGCTAACACGCGAAGGAGTGGTTCAATTTTGTTTATATTTTCCACAGATGTTCTTTGGATGATAAATATTAAGCAATAAAAACTATTATTTCAGGTATTTAAATTTCGGTTATCTGGGTAATCTTAGGAATTTAACCCCCATCAGAAAGGGTGGGGGCCCCCAATAAGGTTAGATATACAGTATAGTTTCTGTGGCTAGGATAGGTTGGATATCTAAATACTATACAGTACTTTTTCTCTAACTACGATCATAAATCACCTATAACTATATGTGAGGAAATTAATTATTTACTGTTAATATTCCGCCAAAAAATCTACTGAGTCGGCAAGTGTTGTCATCCACTCTCAAGTTTGTTTCAGTAAGTGATAGTACTGTACTCTCACGTCCACAAAAAATGTAAAATTTGTTAATATTCGTTTTTATCCCAATCGGTATTTCAAATTTTTTTTACCATTGTCTCGCTAGGGTTGATAAGCGAGACATTTTCTCCCTATTATGGTAAGCCAAATTTAGTTACTTCATTCAAAATATAAAATTAGTTCGTTGCATAATGATTGGTGAATAACAGTATGCCTCACGAGCCTTTACCAAAAACCTTCATTCATGGTGTCATTTTATTTCATACAAGAACTGTAAAGATACTTTTTTTACAGGGTACATGGATATACTGTATTGTTGGATTGGGTTAGGTTAGGTTAAGTTAAGTAAACTGTCATACCAATTGGGGAAATTAGGATAAAAACTTTTTTTTTACCCAAATTACACCATGTCACTTCAAAAAATCGGCTTTTACTGGTATCAATGTAAGTTCTTTCTTATTAATATGCCCGTGGGGTAGTTCTACCTATAAGTTAGGAAGGTTTCTGATGTTATTATCGTTTCGGTCACACAGCGAATTTTATGATTGTAAGTTTATTGGTTAAAATACTCGAAAAATATACCACTAATTACTATCATTCAAAGAACGAGGAAAAAGTGAAGAAATCGAACTCCTCCTCCAGGCTGCTCCACCTTTACCCATTCATCAAACGAGTAAAACACATGCACTAACCTGTATTATGGTTTTACTTGCTGTAATATATCATTTAGCACCGTCACCTCCGAATATCACTTAAGTACTGCCAATAAGTACCGCAGGGCGCGTTAATAGTGCACCACCTACATGTTTTCAGGTAGGGCTGAGTACGCGGCTAATACTCTTACAAAACATAAGCCAAGGCTCTTATGAAAAGTTAGGCAAAACAAGAGTGTTGTCAAGCTATGCCAGAATTGGTTTGGCATAAATGTGTAGAGTAGGTCTGTTTGTGTCTACAGTTAAGTTAAGTGTATACTGCACTCGGCCTCCCAGGGCTGTCAGCTCCACCAGCCGGGTTTGTTTACCTTCACCTGCTCAGGTAAGAAGGTTCACTGAAAGGCTAAAACTAACTAAATTGGCAGGACGATTATAAAAACAAAGTTTTGAGGATATAGTTATATATTACCTTCATGTAATTTGAAACGTTAACCTAAAATATTTAGTTTCATTATGAAAATGAAAATAATGTCGAGGCAATATTCATCACATGCAGGCAAGCATGAACTCCGCATGCTTCCCTGTTGGGCGCTGTAAACGCTTCACCTGGCACAGGATGTAAGGGGGTGCCCAATAAACTAGCCCCCTCGTGGGCAATCTGTAAATCTGTATCGTGGTAAAAGTTATAAAATAATCTTCAAAGACTATATAATAAGAGACAGGAGTAAGGTGAAAACTGCGTAAGCCACATTGCATATAGATGACCGCGGGTTAGTGTGCACGGCGCTGGTTGTCTGATGGTTGACAACTTTACACGAAGACGGACATTTAACCAAGAGTGGGCGTCACCCATCAACCTGTGCCGTATGCACACATACAAAAATAGATCACCCTGAGCCTCGTGTTTAACGTTTTCACCTTGCTACATATCACTGAATATATAGAATTTACTGTGATATTGTATGTGTCAGTATGTGTGGGCGCACATTAAGAACGTCAAAGCAAAGCTCTAGAAACAGATTTAGTATCCCGCACCCTTCCAGCTTAATTCTAAAGCCTTTCATGGGGTAAGCTGTTGAAAGCCTTGGCAAAATATAGGAATATATTGTCGATATTTCCGCCTTGTTCTAGAATTTGTGTCTAAACATCCAGTACCTTGTGTAATTATGTTATACAGGAGCATCCCGGGATAAAGATGAAAGTAAATGTGTGTTGGCAGTCGTTTAGAATGTTGTTTCGTAGTAGATGTTCCATCATGGCATCTCTTATAATACTCTCAAGTACTTGCACAGTACGCTAGTCAGGCTCACTGGTCTAGAATCATTCGTGGAGTGACGATCGCCCTTCAAGAATAATGGAGGGACCCTACTCAGGCCATCAACCAGACCACCTATATTTTGGACGGCCATTAGGTAAATAAGGTTAGTATATTAATGAGACTCGTACTTTGAAATAATTTTATTTATAAATAAAGATAACTCATCCAAAAGAATGAACTTGAATCTTGGCTAACTTTCGAAAACATAACTAAATTAAACTCCGTGAAATGAGATCAGCTTGCACTGAAACAATTTTTTTTTATAATTTTATTCTATTTTTGGACCTTTCCACCACAAAAAGGATTTCTAAAATTAATAAACATAAAACTGGAGATCAAGCCACGCTACTCAGCCGAAACCCCTCAATAATCATAAAAAGCAGGAAACCATAAGGGAAATATAGCCTAAATTGACATAAAAATTGCATCTTCGGCAGTCTACTTCTTCATCAACATTCACACCAATACAATGAAGGCAAGAGGAAACCTTATACTGTACAGTATTAAGTATACCTGAATAAATAATGACAACCATATGTCATTACGCAAACACTTTAAGGTTAACCACTCTAATGCGACCTGGTGGAGGGGGGTTAAGTTTGCGCTAGGGTGGTTAATCTTCAGGTGAAACAAGCTGGGTGAGGAAACTTCATTTTTTGTGTGATTTCCACTTTCAAGTTTCACGGATAAAAGTGCCAGATTCACATTAGATTTATTCTTCGCCATCCAAATATAGTTCAGCGTTCATAATGTCACATAAATTTTGCAAAATGTTGTCGCAGTACCTGGAGGCCATTTCTTCTGAGAAATACTTGGTAGAGTAATCAAGGGTATAGTTAAGGACTCCCTTATAAGTGTGGAAAACGTGAGAACAGGCCAAGTTCATTTTGTGGATAGATATGGAGGTGAATATGCGCTTCAGGCTGACGTGTGGGCCTCCTCCCTCCTTCAATAGGCAAGTCACATCGCCCATGTTGGAGGTGAAGTAGTGTTCCTCGAGTGGCATCGGCTCCAGGAACCGATCCTTAAGGTCAGAATCAGCAGAACACAGATGGTGTAGAGCAGCCTCCTGCAGTATCGTCCCGGCCTCCAGGGTTCTTTGGAGGTCCTGCTGGAAGGATCGCGCGTAGACCCAGAAATCTTCCATGGCATCTCGCCGAGTATTTGTGCACAGGTGCATGGGAGCAATGTGACAACCCATGGCCCGAGACGCGTCTCCCCTCCAGTAGCGTCGCAGGTTGGTGCTGTGGCTGCTGCAGATGTTATACGCGTCTCGGATGACGTTTTCCTCCACCAGAAGGTCCACAAAGGTTATGTTGGCCAACGCACAGAAAGCAGAATGAAGTCTCACACCCTCTAAGCGAGATGAATTTTGGAATACCCTAGTGGCGTCCTCATCCACAGAGAAAGTGAGGTGACGTGACGTGTCCTCAGTTCCTTCCGGGACTTCGAAAAGTTCTATCCCATCCAACAACCTCCTTTTCTTCTCTCCCATCTCATTTATCAGCCTCTCTTTCAACAGTGGGTTGGTTTCTATCTCCGCCTTCCTCGCCAGAATCAGCTGCAAGGTTTCGCCATTGACAAAGTCGGCAAGTTGTTGCTCGTCGTCGATAAGAGTACCAGCAACAACGTCGTTTAACAACTCTAATAGGAAGCCACAGATCCTCATGGCCGTGTAGCCGTCTGCAATACCATGATGCAGTCCGAGAGCGAGGTGACTGATATAAGGTAGTGGCCCTTTTGGCTCCTCCTCTAAGGCTTCTACCCGAGGAGATGAGGAAGGGGCAGTACTAAGACTAAGTGGGGATATCGGAGCTACAACGATTCCAGGTGGAGATATCTGATCAACATGAGGCAGGGGAGATGGAGCAAAGCTAGCACCGCGTGGGGAGGATGGGGCAATTCTAGCACCATGTGAGGAGGACATGGCTAAGCTACCTTCACGTGGAGAACGTGGGGTGACACAAGCGCCCCGTGGCGACATAGGGGCAAATCTAGCACCTTTCATACGAGATACAATAATGCTAGCCTCTCGTGGGGACGACAGGACAACTCCAAGTTCAATCTGGGAAGAGGGGGCAACGCTAGCACCCCGTGGGGAAGAGGGGGCAACGCTAGGTTCACTTGGGGAGGACGGGGCAACGCTAGGTTCACTTGGGGAGGACGGGACAACGCTAGGTTCACTTGGGAAGGACGGGACAACGCTAGGTTCACTTGGGGAGGACGGGGCAACGCTAGGTTCACTTGGGGAGGACGGGACAACGCTAGGTTCACTTGGGAAGGACGACAACGCTAGGTTCACGGGGGAGGACGGGGCAACGCTAGGTTCACGTGGGGAGGACGGGGCAACGCTAGGTTCACGTGGGGAGGACGGGGCAACGCTAGGTTCACGTGGGGAGGACGGGGCAACGCTAGGTTCACTTGGGGAGGACGGGGCAACGCTAGGTTCACTTGGGGAGGACGGGGCAACGCTAGGTTCACGTGGGGAGGACGGGGCAACGCTAGGTTCACTTGGGGAGGACGGGGCAACGCTAGGTTCACGGGGAGGACGGGGCTAGGGTTCACCAACGCTAGGTTCACGGGGCAACGCTAGGTTCACGGGGCAACGCTAGGTTCACGTGGGGAGGACGGGGCAACGCTAGGTTCACGGGGGAGGACGGGGCAACGCTAGGTTCACGTGGGGAGGACGGGGCAACGCTAGGTTCACGTGGGGAGGACGGGGCAACGCTAGGTTCACTTGGGGAGGACGGGGCAACGCTAGGTTCACTTGGGGAGGACGGGACAACGCTAGGTTCACTTGGGGAGGACGGGACAAAGCTAGGTTCACTTGGGGAGGACGGGGCAAAGCTAGGTTCACTTGGGGAGGACGGGGAGTCAGTGTGGACCTGGGAAAGGAAGACTAGAGAGGACTTAGTGCCAGGTGATGAGGCTGCAACAGAGGAGATGCGAGGTGGGGAGGAGGGAGCAGAGCGAGCAGTACGAGTATCTTTCGCCGAACGAGTCGACCGAACGCCAGGTGGGGAGGAAGGAGCTGAACAAGCGGTGCGATTGTCGGGGGGAGAGGACCGGGTGGAACCTGTATTCGGTAAAGAATTGGCCGAAGTGTTATCGGGGAAGTTAAGAGACATAGAACTGACCGTCACCGAAGATGAGCCGGAGGTTGTGTCATTCTGGGAGGAAGATGAGACGCCTTGTTCATCCAACCGGGGAGGCTTAGAAGAAATTTCGGATTGGGAGACAAGGGTCAAACCCATTTGGGGCAAGAGGGTGGAGTTCCCGTCGTTGTTTTGAACGGAGTCTTCCGACTGGCGGTGGTGACCTGGGTCGTCGGTGGCACCATTTCTTGCCTTAGACAGAGCAGAGGCGAGTGCAAATAGGGAGGACGAGGATGAATGACCATTAGTGACCTGTTGCGAGGCATCACCGGCGTTCCCATGGGAAGAGTGAGCGCCGGAGAGGTGAGCTCTGGGGACTGGAGACCTAGGGAGGGGAACCCTGTGGAGGGCAATCCAGGGGATGAAAACAGGTAACATGGGAGGTGGGCTAGGCGCACGGAATGGTTCACTGGAATGGCTTCCATTAATCAAAGAGAGATTTCTACGAGATCTAGGAGTTGGAACAATGGGTGGGAGGGCGGGGCTGGAGGGAGGGGCGGGGCTGGAGGGAGGGCGGGCTGGAGGGAGGGGCGGGCTGGAGGAGGGTGGGCTGGAGGAGGGGGCGGGCTGGAGGAGGGGCGGGGCTGGAGGGAGGCGGGGCTGGAGGAGGGCGGGGCTGGAGGGAGGGGCGGGGCTGAGGGAGGGCGAGAGGAGGAGCGGGGCTGGAGGGAGGGGCGGAGGATGAGACGCGCCTACTATCTGGGTCGCAGGAGACATGACGATTGGCGTCTGCAGAGTTGCTCAAATTGTCTTCCAATTGAAGAGACGGAGTGTCAGGGCTGTCACCAAGCTGCGGCAAGGCGCCAAGGCCCTGGTAAGGCTCACGAGGAGTGTCTGAGCTTGAGTTTAAGCATTGGGGAGTACGAGGACTATCAAGAGGCTGTGGTGATGTGCCA